CTTTTGGTCGAGGAAGCCCAAGCTAGGCCGGCTGTGTTGGAATCGACCGTATTTTCCGGTGCAGAGAGGATCAAATTATTGCAAACGTTAGAAAAGTTGAAAGTTGAAATAATGTATTGTCTTATAGGTGGTCTGCTTTCGATATCAACACACGTTCATATATGTGTACGTGTGTGCATATATATAAACTGATATGTGTGAGTAAAAATATGTATAGATTGGTAGATTTACTTATTCAGTTATACATACATATATGAATCTGGATGATGATTAAGGGGGTATGGGATATATGAGGGACATTTACTTTATGATAATCCAAATTCCGCTTTTAGGAAGGCTTTTGTTCATGATGTTCATTTATGTATATATTTATTTATTTTTTATAAACACAGTGACGTGTACGCAAAAGTAAAGAGAAAACAACCACAATATGAACGAAAATTGATCTAATCAAGAGTTCCTCATCGGCGAAAAACTCTTGAGTTCTGAAGATTGTGCGCATTTTCAGTTCATATTGTAACTGTGTTTTCTTTAGATGTCTGTGCATACATGTGCGTGCGCGAGCTGAATGTCTTATTGCTTCGAAATCACTGATGCAATGACGTTTGCAATATCACCTTAGATTGCGCATGGAATTCAAAACTATGGATTTTTTTTTCTCTCTCTCTTCCAAGTACAAAATCATGCTATTGTTTATCTTCTGTGCTTCGACACTTTGAATGCTAAGTTCCTCTAAGTGATTTTGTCGTCTATTTCAAATTCCGGAAGATAATGTTTCACCTGCACTTAAACCAGTCATTCGTTATGATGCAAATTCAATGAGATGCGAGTTGTCACACATATATACTTTATTCAATCTGAAATTTGCGCTTTGGTCGAGAATTCTTACGGAGTCTCGCATTTCAGAGTGCAAAATGGTCGCCGTCATGTTATGGCATAGACAATGACACTGACTGGATAATGGTTAGTGCCTTGCATCTTTCTAGGGCTTGTAGAACGTAAATGCTAGACGACATACGGGACCTTCGAGCCGTATCTTCTCGTTTCCTTGTGATCGGTGCTAATTACTGAATCCACCTAATTTCAAGGGATTATGGGTGACCCTTGTAATTAAGAGAGGTACCAGTCATACAGTAGAGAATCATAAATGTACATACATATCTATATCTATCTATATCTACATTTCTGTCTACATCTGTATCTGTTTATCTATTTATATATGTAAGCGTAAACGCGAAAAAACTTGTATATACATATATATGCATATATGTATGTGTATGTGTATATATATAAGTACATATATATATGCATATATGTCTATATACATATATTCGTATATATGTGTGTGTGCATATATTGTGTATATATCTAAACATATATATATATGTATTTGCATATATATGTATTTATATGTATATGCATATATATGTATATAAGTATATGTATAGGAATACTATATGTTTATAACCTAAATATATGAAGTTTTAATAAATATATTAATACATATATACACATATATATAGAGAGAGAGATCCATACATACTCATATATACATATATATGTGTATGTATGAACACACGCAAATATAAATTGATACACACACATATACATATATATACATATATATGTAGATGTATACACACACATACATATATATACACACCACATATAGTATTTATATGCATACTATATATAGCAATATATCTATATACATAAATTGGACCTTAGAAGCATGAAGAAATATAACCACGAGGCCTGGCGCTTTGCTAGATGTTTCAAGAGTTTGCAGCGAGATTGGAATAAAAAATCTGGAGAGAAAAAAAGACAGAGAGAGAGAGTCAAGGAGCACCAGATCAATTGTCGGGAAATAACACAGAGAAATGAGTGAAAATATAAGTTTATTGATTTTTTAAAAATATTTAGTATTATCTAATCTAACAGTACGGTCTAGAAGGGGCGCGCCGCGGCCGCGATCTGCCTCTGGAAGGCGCTGAAGAAGGCCTGCTTGGCGGCTGCGACTTCGGCGGTGTCGGCGACCTGCGGGGCGGAGCCTGGGAGTCCGGCGGGCACGGTGGCTGCCACGGGGCCGGTCCACTTGGCCTGCACAGGAGCAGCCTGCTGGAAGAGCTGCTGGGGCACGGCCTGGCTGAAGGTATTGACGACGGGGACAGTGCCTACGGTGGCCCTAACCTGTGCGTTGTAGGCGTTGAGGAAGGCGTTGCGGGCGGCGGCCACCTCAGCGGTGTCGCCCACGGGGGTGACGGTGCCGTCGACGCCGGCGGGGATGGTGGCAGCCACTGGTCCGGTCCACTTGGCCTGCACAGGAGCAGCCTGCTGGAAGGTATGTTGGAAGGTCTGCTGGAAGGTCTGCTGGGGAACAACAGGGACGACGTTGAAGGCTGGGGCCTGCACCACGGGCACGGTGCCTACGGTGGCCCTAACTTGTGCGTTGTAGGCGTTGAGGAAGGCGTTGCGGGCGGCGGCCACCTCTGCGGTGTCGCCCACGGGGGTGATGGTGCCGTCGACGCCGGCGGGGATGGTGGCAGCCACTGGCCCCGTCCACTTGGCCTGCACGGGCACCACAGTCTGGAAAGCCTGCTGGGGAGCGGCGGCAGCCTGAGCAGCGCGGAAGGCTTGGAAGAACCGCGCTTTCTCAGCCTGCACTTCGGGCGTGTCCCCGATGAAGGGGGCAGCCGAGCACACTCCCAGCACTGCCAAAAGAACCTGCGGAAGAAACAACTTTCTCTTTACACGCTGTGCATATTCCTCAAGACATTGTACATTTTCCAGTATGCTTTCACATTATGATCAGATATCCTAGTCTTAGATCCTTCATTGCCTTCAAATTCACCCGCAAAGGAACGTGAATTTACCAGAGACTTCATGTTGACTTTCGTGGACGAAGAACCGTACTGTGGCGACCCAAGGCTCCCGCTCCCTTTATATAGGCGGGCGGCGAAGGCCAGGCGGAGACCTTGAGGCGGAGACCTTGAGGCGGAGACCCTGACCAGAGATGGACAAGCTGTGGTTCAATAAACTCAAAGTTACAGCTGCTTTTGGTCGAGGAAGCCCAAGCTAGGCCGGCTGCGTTGGTATTTTTCCGGTGCAGAGAGGATCAAATTATTGCAAACGTCAGAGAAGTTGAAAGTTGAAATAATGTATTATCTTATAGGTGGTCTGCTTTCGATATCAACACACACGTTTATATATGTATGTGTGCGTGTGTGCATGTATGTAAATTGATATATGTGTGAGTAAAAATATGTATAGATTGGTAGATAGATTTACTTATTAATTTATACATATATATGAATCTGGATGATGATTTAGGGGTGTGTGGGATATACGAGGGACATTTATTTTATGGTAATGCAAATTCCGCTTTTAGGAAGGCTTTTGTTCATGAAGTTCATATATATATATATATATATATATATATATATATATATATATATATATATATACATATAAACACAGTGACGTGTACGCAAAAGTAAAGAGAAAACAACCACAATATGAACGAAAATTGATCTAATCAAGAGTTCCTCATCGGCGAAAAACTCTTGAGTTCTGAAGATTGTGCGCATTTCAGTTCATATTGT